AAAGCCCTTCAAGCCTTTGCGGACCATCAACAGCGAGCCAAATTGTTGCGTAATTACCACGACAACATTCGACACGTATCATGAAATCACAGATTAATTAGTGACTCAAACGCGGACTGCCAGGTCAGCATCGCGTCAATCATGACTCCAAGCGATGATCGCGAGAGCTACTAATTTTGGGATGCATGTGGTCGTTTGGCGTCTACGGACTATAAACACCTGTGCCTTTATCATCCTTCTTCGGTTATCTCTGATAATGGGTCTAAGCCAGAATCAGAATCGTTAGACCATTAAACCTTTTATTCCAGCGATCGCATCTTCACAGTACCTTGCCGTTTATACCTTTGGGATTATCGTTAACGCCAATTACTTGATATTTTATATCAATTAACACCATACTGTTTATCCTATAGTTCATCGTCTCCCCTTTTTGGTAATTATGGCCCTTTTTCTTTACCATAACCCCTTCTCATTTGTTTAAATTTCCTACATTGGCCCCGCGAAAAGTGGTATTATCCCGCTGCTTCCAGACTTGGAGACCTTGTGTGTAAGGGTACTATTTATGTTTTTCCTAATCTCCAATTACAGAATCGTTATCATCCCTACGATACTGTTTTTGATCTACACTAAGGGAGATCTTGTCTACATAAATTAAAGAGTAGGAACCAGACCGGCCTTAAGCATCTGGTTAATTATAGAATCCAAATATTCTAAATTCACCTTGTGAACTGCTTCCTGGAAGTAACCTGTTCGCATCCAATCAACACTCCTAGAAGGCGTCGGAATCTGTTAGTAAACATTTTTTCTGAAACCATAATATTGAAAGGCTTGAGAGTATCAATATAAGGAGTGGGAACGTGAGACATTCATTTAAAATTTCCCCTCAGTTGAGTGGATATCAACCGTAAAAGGCTGTTAATCAGACGGGTAGTCTAGAAGGTCCTCCAAAATACCGAGTCTATGGCCGAAAAAGCGCTTCGTTAAATCTTTTTATTTTTACTATAATATTAAGGATTTCCACAAATAAATGAAAATCTTCGCGTTTCAGGCATTTGCATGGGTAAGTAAGAAGAGTTGACAAGCACCAAATCAATTTGTTCATTGACTTGAGCTTCCGAACTGTGACAGAAGTCCATCTTCAGAGGTAAGAAGCAGCAATCAAAAAGGGGGTAATTATAGTGGGCATACGCCAATAGGCTGTCAGATCACGTTGTTGAAGATAATTGTAATGCACAAACAACAGTTAATGTAATTTTTTCTCAACATTTTCAGTTACAGACTCACCCATGAGGAAGCCAAGTCCCAGACCTTCATCAGGTGCCTCAGGATCGCCGGTGGTGATAGCAGTAATGGCACTGAAGACGTCGGGTGCACCGTTTCCAAAAGCCAACAACGTTACGCCCTATGTCAGTTCAAAGCTTGAGTTAAGGGAAAAATAAACCAGCCACCTCCATTCTACTCTGGCAGGTAAAAGAAACGAGTAACTTGTCTAAAAGGTAAGTAGAATCTAGCATCTCCATACATAAAACTAAGTAAGCTGCTACGGCTGTTTAAGGTGGAGCCTTTAAAGCCCAGGAAGTCAGCTATATGAAATCAAAGTCAGTGGGAGGTAGACAATTCAGCGAAACCCGTGGTACCAAGCGGGCAAACTATTTGATTCGTAAATTTTCCTGAAGGGTTTTTCCTGTGAATTTTTGAGGCAAATGTTATCGAAGTCTGACATTTGGTGGACTGAAGTCTAAATCTCCAATCCAACTGGATAGAGAGCCTAAGCAAAACAGGCTGGTTGAAAATGCAAATGCGGTCAAAGTTGATGATTTAGGCCAAAGGATACAGCAAGGTTTTGGCTCATCCTCATTGAACGAGCAAGTGCGATGAGCGAAGGGCTGAAACTGAAAGGACAAAAGGAGATTTATTGTGTAGAAAAAAACAGAACATGAAATTTTGCCCGTGAGGTCTAAAACTGACAACAGCATAGTCCAGGTCACATGCACTTACTGTTGACGCCGAGCTTTTTCGAGAAGCCATAATCTGCCCAGCAAAACCTAGTCGCAGCATTAGAGGCAGGACGTGAGGACTACGGAGGTCGCTGAGTCGAGTAGATCACAAAGCGAAAAGAATTAGCCACGGTTGATGTTGTCATCATTGCACCAAGATACCTGTGTCGATTTTTGCGGCCTAAACCACGAGTATTTGACCGTCACGTGCGCCGATCTCTACCATGTGCTCCACAGCAAGGGGGAGGGAGTAGTTTGTATGTTAATTTGTTTATAATGATGGCAGATGTACGCAGCTCTTGCCCCACTCTCTGCTTCCCTGCTTATCTGAGCTAAATAGGAAAACGGAGACTAGAGGTGAGATTGGGCGCAATGGTCCCTCTACGTTCGCCGCAGATAACCCGATTCAGGGTTTTTAGAGAAACCGAAGGCGACCGG